CCCTAGCACTGAGCCAGGGCAGTTAAAGCGGTCTCAAAGTGGGTTATTCTGCAGTGTGGATTGGGCCACACTGTTCTCTAATGGAGTGAACCAGGGCGTGTTTTCTGTGGCTGGACCTACAAGAGAAACCGTACAACTGAGGGCCTTTACAGACTGCCAGAAATAATGCAGCTTGAGTCCACTTTAACTGCCCTGGCTCAGTGCTAGGGAATCATGGGAACTGTAGTTTATTGTGGCATTAGAGCTCTCTGACAGAGAAGGCTCAATGTCTCAGAAAAAAAACTACAATTCCCATGATTCCCTAGTATTGAACCAGGACAGTTAAAGTGGTCCCAAGCTGCATTGTTTCTGGCAGTCTGTAAAGGCCCTGAGGTGGGGTAGGCAGGAGGGGTGCATCTTGTTGTTGTTGTATGCCTTCATGTCATTTCCAACTAGAGGAGGTTTGCTATTGCCATCCTCTAAGGCTGAGAGAGTGTTACTTGCCCAAGGTCACCCACTGGGTTTCCATGGCAGAGTTGGGAATCAAACCCTGGTCTCCAGAGTCACACAGTCCAGTACTCAAACCACTTCCCCAACTGGCTTCCTGGTATGCATCTACACTGTAGAAATAAACTACACCATGAGTTGGAAAACTACAAATCCCAAAATTTCATAGGCTGGAGCTGCAGCACTCAAAGCGGTGCCAAAGTGCGTTATTTCTACAGTGTAGATGCACTCTTAAGAGAGGCATAGAGTAGTTATTCTTGTAACGCGGGCTGTATACTCAGTATCCGTTTCCAAGTCGTTGTAACGTTTGTGGGAAGAAAGTGTCATTTCTTGCACAAATGGCGGTTTCTGTGAGAAGCCCTCAAGTGAAGAAACCGAGAGCCCTCAGTCCCTGCCACTCACTCTTCGTACTCTCTGCTTAAATCAAGCGCCAGCAAGTCTTGGCGCCTGAGGGAAAAAGGAGGAGGAAGGCACGGCCCTCGAGGAGGAAAGACTGAGGCGGTTCTGTCTGTTAGTAGCCGTTACGGTTTCTCTCAAAAAGGAAATCATGATCTCTTGATTGGGTCGGCGGGGCATATACACACACATCAATAGACATATATCAATAAAGACATATATATATATAGGATATATAATATATATATATATATATATAGGATATATAATATATATATAGGATATATAAAGGAAATACAAATATATATACAAGACATATATATATAGGAAATACAAATATATATACAAGACAATAGATAGATAGATAGATAGATAGATAGATAGATAGATAGATAGATAGATATATCCTTTATATATATATAGATAGATAGATAGATATAGATATATATAGATATATATAGATATATATCCTTTATATATAGATATAGATATATATATCTCCTTTATATATCCTAAAGACAAGGATCTTTATATCCTTGTCTTTATTATACCTTATATTTTTATGTAGATAAAGACACGGTTCAGCTGCCTTCAAAATCCATACACACACAC